TGACTACTTCACGCCACCACCCTACCCTGTACATTCCCTTGCATCTGTCGCATGATGGTTCTCACTTAGCTGGGTCTCTTTGAGTTGGGCTCTCCCTTGGTATCGCATAGRCATTGGGACCGTAGCGTTATCTTGGCTTCCCTGCTCCCAGATCTAGCTCCTTCCTCCCCCAGTCAGTGAGTTGTGTGCATGTTTCCCTCACCCACTGCCCTCATCACCCTAGTGTCGGCCCTTGCATGCCTTCAGTTAGGCATATCTCCATCCTATTCCAGGCTCCCCCTTTTCATGGTCGACCCTGCATGGTGTCACCCTTGTCGAGCATTACCCGCCTTGATGGTCTTTCTGTTAGGGTCATTGGTTTTGTTTCGCTACCACTCTCCCACCTTGAGCCTGATGACCTATCCCACCTTCATGTGTGACTGCCCTTAGGAGTTTCGATTCTTAGGCTGCATTCACCCCCTTTGAGACCATCCCACTTTTAGTGGTTCAGCGACATGACATTATCTTGTGACATATTGCTCTTCTCCTTTCRGCAYTGAGGMYACTRCCTCCAGGACYTTAGGAGTGTATCATACTACATTTCATTTTCTGCTGTTAGCTAGGATATGTATACCAGACATTTGCTTTTCTTTTGACATTATATAGCTTAGGATGCATCGCATGGACTCATGGAGCTTGCTCCGCATCCTAGATTTCTCAGCTTTCTTTATTGCAGAGTTCCGCTGCTTTTGCGGATAGCGTGTTTATGGCTCTTGCGATCCATTACAGGTCTGAGGATCGTGCAGCGGGCCTTCATCTGCCCTGGCCCACAGCCAGGGCATATTTGGCTATTTGCTAGTCCGGCCTGTGGGACCAGGCCGTGGCCTGACCCCACAGGCCGTGCGGTTATTCAGTCCAGTCCAGTCTTGCCCGGTACCACTGTCGGTACCAGGCCAGTCCAGTTCAGCCCAGTCAGTCCGCTGGGGGTATACCCCAACTGCAGTCTGTTTTGTGACATTCTTCATTTGCACAGATTGGAGTACGTGCGTGTTGAGTCTGCGTTGGAGCTGCACTGTCCCTTCCAGCTCCATCTCCATCTCCCCCATCCTCATCCCTTCGTCTTAATCCTGACGGACCGCCATCCCGGCGGGTCCGTCACATCGTATCACAACTTGAAGAAAGTACAACTAAAAATAGAATAAATGGTAAACTGGGGCAGGCTGAACTTACGTTAGTTCAGTCATATGCAGCCTTAGAAGACAAAGGTAAAGATAAGTATATATAACTTGGATACTTTAAAACAGTCCAGGGCGACTAGAGTGGTCTAGTCGTGTGCCCAAAGAAGAGAAAAGTAGTTGTGTCTTCTGTTTGTGTATATTTGGCCAAGTCAAAACGCTCTATAAGTTTAGATATTCTGACTCTAGGCCTGGCTAAGTTGAGCTGTTCTGTAAGTTCAGGCGGCCTGACCTATGCCTTATGTAAGCCGGGTATAAAAGGTTAAATCATTAAGAGATCATGAACTATTGTTTGCTCAAGTTGACTTTGAGATAGTGAGAGTACTTACTCTTGTGGTTTGGCCTGCATGTGACTGAGTGAGGCTACTACTTAGTCTGAGTTTCAGTTTGATAGGTAGTTGCTTTGGTCGCTCGCTACGTGCTAGAGTCATATGAGTTAATTTCAATTCCTGCATTTTCTGAGCTAAGTTTTTTTTTACTTAGGTCAATTCTCGTATTTTCTGGGATCTTTTCTTATACTTGGCTTTGTATAAATCTTGGCAGGCCACTTTCTCTACGGGAAGCGCTGCCGAAATTTCTACAAATCCAAAGAGTTAGTCAAAATTTGCCTTATCCAAACTTGACTTGTCTTTCTGACTTAGTAAAAAATATGGGAAGCCTCTCTTTCTAAAGGGAGTGCTGCCCAAATTTTTGCTGATTCAGAAAGTTAGTCAAAAGTTTGGCTTGTCAAAGCTTGACTTGTCTTTTCAATATATCTGGCTTAGTAAAAATCTAGAAAGCATCCTTTTCTAAAGGGAGTGCTGCCCAAATTTTTCTAATTCGGGGAGTTAGTCAAATTTATGAGTTCTCAAAATTCAACTTGTTTATATTTTATATATGGCTTAGTAAAATTCTGGGAAGCCTTCTTTTCTAAAGGGAGTGCTGCCCAAAATTTTGCTAATTAAGGGAGTTAGACAAAATTGGACTTTGGAGAGTCCAGGGTTATTTCTTATTTCATATTTGGGCTTATATAAATTCTGAGACTGCACTGTTCCTACGGGAAGCGCTGCCGAAATTTTCCTGTTTTCAGAGGAGTTAGATTATTTTCGACAGGTGGCGCTAAAGAGTATTATAAGGAGGTGTGCTATGGAGGTTTATCCCCCATATGCTGATGATTTAACCTGGACATTTGACCTATCTTGTGTTACGTGTCCTTTAGGTTGTCTGATTCAAGGTCAAGGACTAGATTCGGCTTGATCCCTTGAGGATCATTATCTGTTATCACTGATAACAGGTCGGTTGCCGATTCGTCGGTTTACGACTCAATTCCAACTCACCCTCCACACTCAACCTAAAAGGCTTTAGCCCTGGTGATTTATTTTGTTTCATTATGGTTTCACCCAGACTTTTATTGAATGACCATTTGGCAAAGGTACTGAGTATTTAATTAAGATTGGTTGGACAGGAGGTTGGGGCTTACATGGCTAAAGCAAGGGGTATGAGTGTTGAAGATAATTGGGGTTGACTCCGTGTAGTGTGTGGGCTGCTTGATTGGCTCGTTGATGTGATTTGCAGGTATGTGCTATGAATCACATTCTGGATATGGTTGCCTGCGATCACATATATACGTATGGCTATGAGGGACCCCAATGAAACTGTGAGAGGTGATCGTCACATACTTTTCCCTTTTTATATATATATATATATATGTATATACATATATATATGTATATATATATATATATATATGTATATATATATATGTATATATATATATGTATATATACATGGGTGTACGTAGGGTGAATGTCTGCATGGATTAATGGGCTCCGTACAAAGAGCATACTTCAGAGGGTAAGATTGAGAGGCCCAGGGAGGACTCCTCCGTTTATTTTGCTTTGCTTCTTGATAATTTTTCTTAGTCGGACGTTGGTCCTGGGCTCGGATTCGAGGTCCTTGTCCAGGACATCCCAAGCCCTAGGCTCTGCAGGGGAGGGATTTCCCCTCGTGCAGAGCCTATTTGCCTTGCCTACCGAGACGCTCAGACCAAAAGTCGGAGGTCTCGAGGCGGCCAATCGGCTATTCCTTCAGCCGTGCAATGTCATGAAGGATTAGACCCTCACGACACTTCGAGTCTGACACTTGAGTGTCCTAAGCGGTACTCGGATCCACGAGGGACCGCTTGATTATGGGCACTAGATAGTACGCCATCATTGCGACTGCTTGCGTACCCCTGCATTGCGAGTCGATATGAGTAGGCCCTGCGTCCACGCGGTTTTATACTAAGTCTCGCGCGTGACGCTTATTTGTTTTCCGCACCGGAAAGTTATGGGTTGGCTACCGAGGGGCTAAGAGCGTTGTCGCGTTGTTTGTGTTGTGTTGTTTCGTGTGTGTGTGTGTGTGTTTTATTTTTATGTTCGTAAAGTGGTGTACGCGTGGTGTGTGGGATACGTCCTAGTCGACCGACGACAGGCCGCGCTTGGGACTTCAGCCCCCCAAGATGGCGGTTCGCGTGCGGGTCCGATAGAGGTGTATTACCGCGCGTACCCCCTATGCTACAGCGAATGAGAAACGCCCTCGGCTGGTCCACCTCTGCGATTGCTACTGATTAGCTTTCGTACTGTGGACTGGTAGCTCGGCGGGGATATGCCCACCGAAGGGAGGTGACAACTCCCGTAACGTGGAGGTAAGTCGTGCCTCGCGTAGGCCCTATCCTTTCGTAGGGGCTCGCGAGAGGTATGGCTGGCGCACTCGGCCGGAGCGGCTTGCGGAAACTCCATGTATATTCGCGACGAAGGATATAAACCAACTCTTGCGTGACGCGGCCGGGAGGGTCTCGCGTTGCCCTGATGCGGTGCCGGACCCATGCGCTCGACAGGTGGCGCCGTTGCCGGGGATAACGGAAAGCCTACCGTTGTCCCTGGTGGAACGACATCCGGATATCAGAAGTGAATGGGAAAAAGGCATAAAGGAATTATGAGAAGGTAAGGAAAAGTAATAAGTGACTAAGTATAGGTGAGAAAATTTACTTACCTGAGTCAAGGGGAGTATGAGGGACGATCGTGTTAACATTGGGTAAAGCAAGTACTAAGAGTTAGGTAGGACGGATGGAGTAGACCGGTCAAGGTGTAATGTTGAACAAGGGGATGTGCTTGTTTTCTCTTGCCAGGGAACTTGAAAAGAAGAAGCTGTCAAGATGCCTGAGACTGGCGGCGCATCGGGTGCACCCAAGAAGGACCTGACGCTCGATGGCCTCATCGCGGCAATCGGCCGGCATGAAAGGAATCCAAAAAATATCCCCGAGGTCGATACGTTCCATTTTTGTGGGGAGAGAGTCTCAGAATGGCTGGAGCGGGTGGAACAAGCTCTGGTTGGGCGGTTGGACGTTGTAAAGTTCCAACGCATCCTTCAGTATGTCCTCCACAGCTACCACCAAGAGGTGAAGAAAGTTATAGATGCAGCCCAAGGTAGCTGGGAAAGGTTCAAAGAGGGAATGCAGAGGAAGTCCCGCCTGGGAGATGGACTATTGACCACTGCGGACCTTGAAGCAATGAACAAGGAGGATTTTACGACGATAGGGACCTTTGTTCAGGAGTTCAAGAAGAGGCCGCGGAAGGTCCATGAAATTTCGGAGGAGGCGCAGTGCGCCATTTTCCTGGGGCTACTCACAGCATCGGAGGCCGTCGAATTGACAAGGCATGGAGGGGGTAGCACCAAACTCACCTTGGCCACCATTGACAGAGGGGTGGAAGTTGGATGTTTGGACCAGGTGGAACAACGTCAGGTACGCCTCCAAAGGCAGAAGAGAAAGGAAAGAGATGCGACCGCTTCTGGGACCCCGGGGGTAACAAGGATTGTTACAGACGTATTGGCACAGCTGGGTTATGGGACAGAGTCGGTAGTGCAAAGGAGGGTAGTAACGGCTGTCCAAGTGAAAGGAACGGAGCCGGTGATAGAGGAGGCTGTTCAGGAGGAGCTCTGGGAAGAGGAAGAGTCGGTGCCGCAACGCCTGACGAAGGCCCAGCGCAAAGTGGATAACTTGGCGCAGGGCGGACAGGGATCAGGAAAAGCGCAGGCGCCTCAGGCGGTGGCGGCGGCTCCTCCAGGTGTGGCGGCGCCCTTGTCTAGTGCGGGCCCCTCGCAAGGAGGGGCACCCTCCTACGGACAGTGGCCCTGGCCAGTGATCAATGCAATTGTGCCATGGGGTAGCCCCCCGCCAGTAGCCGGACCACAAATGAGTATGCTGCCACCCATCTACCCCACAGCCCAGGCCCAGCCTATGGCCCCGTTGCCGTCACCGGCTCCCAGTTCACAGGGCAGCGTGGCTGGAGGTGGGAACCAGGGGCAGGGCAACCAAGACAATGGAGGGAGGGGTGGAGGAAGGGGGCGAGGCAGGAATGGCGGCGGAAGAGAAGGGCAATGGAATAGTCAAGGCCGAGGAAACCAAGGCCAGGGGTACCAAGGCCAGGGGAATCAAGGCCAAGGGTACCCAGGCCAGGGGTATCAAGGCCAGGGGGATCAGGGAAGTCAAGGGTATGGGAGACCCCGTTTTGACTGGAGGACGGTCATCTGTCAGCATTGTGACCAGCAAGGCCACACTATAAGGTTCTGTAATATAAGACGGGAAGACGAGAGGGGCACGCTGATCTCCTCCACTATGGATAGGAACATTTACGATCAGTTTGGGGAGGCCATTGACAGAAGGCTTGGAGGAGTGAGAGCGGAAGCCCAACGAAGGGCGGCAGCCGGGACGCCACCCCCTGCCACATTCAGGCTGTGGCAGGAAAAGGAGGAACCACCGATTGGGGTAGAGGAAGTGGGGAGCGACGAGGAAGTGACTCAAGGACCACGTGGAGGAAGTAGGAGGGAAGAGCCCATAATCATCGAATCGGATGATGAAGACGAGGAAAGAAGGATGGAATCGCCATCCGTCTTATTGGGGAAGATGGATGACCTACTGAACAAGGTGGGAAGGTACCATCAGAAGTTGGTAGACCTCTGCGACGAAGTGAAGAGATGGAGGTCTAGCACCCCAAGGTGTTCCTCTATGACTCCGGCCCGGAGTCAGCGCCTGGGCGACCCGAAGTAAATGTGGTGGGGTCGTGCCCACAATCGGGAATGATGGGGAGACCCCTCACTCCGCAGGCTCGGCTGACACAGGCATCACGAACGAGAAGTCAAGCCAAGGCCAGTGTCAGCCAAGAACCTCCGAGAAGGGAGCCCGAACCAGGAAAAAGGAAAGAGGCAGTGGAAGTAGAGGATGACGATGATGAAGAGGAAGAAGACGAGAGGCTGCGCCGAGAAGAGGATCAGAGAGCGGAGCAACGGGCAAGGAAAAAAGGGACCAGGGGAGAGGCCGAGTCGGTCATACGTGACGAACCACCCAAAAGGAAGAAGTACGCGGTTCGGTTGGAAGAGGGATTTGACGTAGAGAAAGTAATCGACCGACTGCTTGAAGGGCATAATGACCTCATGACCCTGAAGGAAATCCTAGCGTCAGCCCCGCGATTCCGCGATGAATTGAAGGGGAGGTTGTCACGACGCCTAGTGCCCAATATCCATCTGGGTACGATCCTGCCCAAGGAGGCTGAGTGGGCGGAGTCAGGTACGAAAACGGACTGGAAGTGCATGGCTTGTGGCACGGTGGATTTAGTGGTGAAAGGCTCCAAGTGTGCAGCAATGGTGGACACCGGGGCGAAAATGAACATCATCCGGGAGGCGGATGCTATCAGATTCGGGTTGGACATAGACCGATCTGACTGCGGTATTTTGCACGGCGCAAGCTGCAAGGCCGTGTTTTGTGGGACAACCTCGAATGTACTCATCGAGGTTGAAAAGGTGAAGGCCCGAGCTTGCTTCTTCATCATGTCGGACGTGGACCACGGGATCCTCCTAGGATTATCATTTTTGAGTAGGACAGAAACCGTGATGTTCAACAAGCATGACGGTTCTCTGATCCTCCTCCTATGTGACCCTGCCTGCGGGAATTACGAAATAATTACCTGCAGAAACACAGGACCAAGGAGTATAAGGAACCGGCCCAACCCAGGATCCTTCACGATCAAAGAGTCGGAGGGCGAGCGCCGGAGGCTTGGGCGGAGCCGGAAGAAGAAGAGGAGGTGAAAGCGTTTTTCCTTAGCCTATCGGACGTCGGGAAGGCCATGGACTTGGTGGCCGCACATGAGATGGCGGATCCGAATGCCATCCAAGCCTTGAGGGAGCAAGTCCTGGAATACCCCGAGGCGGGGAGATTGAAGCTGGTGTATCGTCTTCCGGACGGAAGGAGGAACTCCGCGTCCGCTCAAGTGCAATCTGTGAGTCGGCCTTTTTTAGGGGACGGCTCAAGCAGGGTTCCCAAAGACGGTACAAGACGGTAGACAAGAAGTGTCGCCCGGTTCCCGTCCTCGTTACAGAGGATGAGGAAGCATACTACGAGAGGGAACGAGGGTTGATACGGCAAATGAGGGAGACTGCTTTAGCAGGACCATGTAGTATCAACGAAGGGAATGAAGGGGAGCTGATTATAGGGGAGCCCGACTTCCTACTGCCCCAGGAGCGGACATTGATGGTGAAGTTGATGAAGAGGAGGCATCGCGCCTATGCTTTTAGTGACGAGGAGCGTGGTAGGCTGGATGTGGACAAAATATCTATGATCCGCATCCATACCGTGCTACACGAGCCTTGGAACATGCGAGGGGCGCGATATCCTAATCCTGACGAGGAGAAGAAAGTGGTGGATTACCTCGACGGCAAGATACGTACGCACGTCGCCGATTATTCGAGTGGGCCGTATACGTCCCCGTGGTTCTGCTTCATCAAACCTAACGGGACGCTGCGGTGGGTGCAAGATTTGCAGAGGTTGAATGCGGTGACCGTGCGGGACGCTGGAGGACTGCCAAATGCGGATGATCTATCAGAATCCTGTGTTGGAAGGCCTATAATCTCACTTATAGACCTTTACTCAGGATATGATCAGTTTCCAGTCTACCCGCCGGACAGGCCGGTGACGGCTATACACACGCCGTGAGGATTAATCCACATGAACGTGGCCCCACAAGGGTGGACCAACGCGGTAGCAATGGTCCAACGAACCATGATTCGGGCTATGCAGTCAGTCAGCCCCCATATCACACAGCCATACATCGATGATTTGGCGGTGAAGGGGCCGACAATACAGGAGAGCGACGAGGTTTTGCCAAGGGTAAGGCGCTTTGTTTGGAAGCACATCTAGGATCTCGACAAAGTCCTAAGTCTGCTCGAGGAGCACAACCTCACGGCAAGCGGGGCCAAATCCAGACACTTCATGAGGGAAGCTACTACCTTGGGGTTTGTCTGCAGCGAGAAAGACCGAAGGCCGGATGTGAAGAAGACAGACAAAATTACTGAGTGACCAGTTTCGTTCCACTGAATAACTTATGTCCGGAGCTTCCTTGGTACGTGTGGGTTTTGGAGGGCCTTCGTCAAAAACTTTGCCGCTAAGACTGAGCACTTGAGGAAGTTAGTTCGCCAGGATCAAGAATGGGTTTGGGGTGAAGAGCAAGAAGACGTGGTGGCCAGAATGAAGGAGGAATTTCGAGAGGGAGGATTGGTGTTAGGAGCACCAGATTATCATGCCACGGAAACGCGACCCTTCATTGTTGAAACAGATGCGGGGCCAACTGCCTTGGGAGGAGTTCTAATTCAGACAGACATGGAAGGAAAGGAAAGACCCTTGCGATTTGAGAGTCGGACTCTCTGTACGACAGAAAGAAACTACTCTCAGTTCAAAAGGGAGACTCTTGCTGTCCTCTACTGTCTGCGAATCTTCCAGAACTACATCTTCGGCATGAGGTTTATTTTGAGAGTAGATCCGACCGCCCTGGCCTACTCTCTAAGGAATTACGTTCCATCGGATCCGACGGTTGCCAGATGGCTGACGTACATCTGGATGTTTAACTTCGAGTTGGAGCGGATTCCTGGCAGTAAGAACCGGACAAACGGACTAAGCCGGATCAACTGGGATTAACAGGAAGGGGAGGCGGTGGAAAATACGCCCCCAGTTGATGGATTTCTGGACCAGGAAGAATATGTTCGTCTTCATATCAACAAGTGGTCGCCGCGAGTACCCAGCTGTGTAGACTATCCTATCTGGCAAACGCCGAGTGGGTACGAACGGAGGGCTGAGCTAGTCCTCAAACCCTTTGAAGAAGAAGATCCTTGGGGAGGTAAGGATGTTCAGTGGATGATGGAGTTGGCGCTGGCCAGTTCGCATAGTCTGGTGGAAGACATAAGAACGATTGAGGAAGGACCAGGGCAGATAGAACGGCATGAGGACCTGATGGGAGGAATGTATCTCCTCGTCAACACATTATTGGAGGAAAGCCTCGACCAGTTAGGCTCGTTGAACCCGGCAGGGAATGTGGATGAAGTGCCCGAGAGCCAAGACGACGAGTTTGAGGAGGGGGAGATTAAGGAGGCCTTTCATGCAGAGGAGTATGATGGGATCTACCTAGAGCTGGGGCTTCTTTTGTCTTGCGAGATGCGGCTAAGGGATGCGAGCTATAGGGCTCAGAAGATGCTGCAGCGCTACTTAGTGCGTGACGGCCACCTTTTCGTGAGAAGGGAAGTGGGGAATCCTAGGAGAGTCGTCTGCGGTAGGAACCGTCAGATTGACGTTTTAGCAGCGCTTCATGACGGCATTGCGGGAGGGCATCGATGGGTACAAGCCACGTATGCCAAGGTAAGTGAGTTGTACTACTAGGATGGGATGATAGACATGATTGGGACGTTTTGCCGATCTTGTGTACCCTGCCAGGAGAGATCTCGTTTGAGGCAAGGAGAGCCGTTACATCCAAGGCTAGAGCGAGAAGTGGGGGCTGTAGTGCATCTCGACCTACTTTTCATGCCACTTGGGGATCAAGGCTATAACTACATCTTCGATGCGCGCGATAACTTATCTGGCTTCGTAGATGGGCGTGCCATTCGTACCAAGACAGACTCAGTCTTGGTTAGCTGCATCGAGGAGTACTACGTGCGTTATCCTTTCGTCAGGGAATTCGTAATGGACAGGGGATCGGAGTTTACCTGCCAGGAGGTGCAAGAACTGCTATCAAGGTATGGTGTAGCAGCTAACTACACCACGGCCGCGCACGCCCAGGCGAATGCTCCCGTGGAGAGGGCATAGTACCATTACGAGCCTCCTGGCTAAGTGGACCGAAGGTAGGCCTAATCAATGGCCAAGGTACCTAAGGGAAGCTTTCTTCGTCGAGAACATTACAGTGAAAAGATCCACCAAGTATGCGCTAGCCACTCTGTGGTATGGAAGGCACGCCACCTTCCCTATCGAGAGCTTTCTTAAGACATGGAGGCGCCAGGATCTGGAAGTCGACCTGTCTTTTGAGGAATTGCTCGACATTCGCGCGCGACAGATAGGAGCGATAGAGGAAAGGATCCAGGAGGCGTCCGATCAAGTGGCTAGAAGCCGTATGGATGATAAGACTCGATGGGATCAGTCTGCTCGGGTGAGGAAATTACCTCTAGCAGTTGGGGATGTCGTGCTCCTTTACGATTCATCTTTGGAGAAGCAGTGGTCCAGGAAGCTCGATAAGAGGTGGTTAGGTCCCTACCGGATCGTACGGGTTGGAGACCTTGGAGCTTACCAGATTGAGCTAAATGGGACTGAGTGGAAGGATTGGGTATCTGGAACGCGATTGAATAAATTTGTGGCGAGAGAAGAGGTAAGAGAGACGATCTGACTACCTCTAGAATAGAAGCGATAGGTTATGTAGGTCAGATAGGTTGTATGCTGCATGAGTGTGGTCTGGTCTGAGCCTGCTTAATTGTCACCTGTTTGCTTACCACAATGTGTGTCTGTCGTCTCCTTCGCCTCTTGTGCAGGTCTGACTTTACGAAGACAGTCATGCCAAGAGGAGGGAGGGGGACATGGCCGCCTCGGAGGCCGTTGGCAGCATCAGGAGGATATGAGCGGCATGGGCCTCGCCATTGAGAGAGTACTCCGGTGTACGATGATGGGGACATCGAGTTATTCCTGGACAGTTTCTAGGAGCATGCGAGGCGTATGGGCTGGACCGTGGCCCAGACAATCGAGAGACTGAGGGGAGCAGGCAGGTTCGAGGAGCCCATTGTCAGGATTCGTAGGGAGGCGACGACGAGGCGGGAGGTGGAGACTAGGATGGAAGAGCTGCGACCCTCGCCTGTGGGACCAGATGGCAAGCCGATCCGTCTAGAGATCGAAAATGTGGCAGACTTTATCCCTGCCTTCGAGTGGTTCATGCAGGGGCAGGGTACACCGAGAGATGAGTGGGCGAGGACGTTACCCCTCTGGACCAGAAAGGCGGAGAGGACACTGGCTAAGCAGGTCAAAGACATGGCCCGGGACTGGGACAGCTGCAGGGCACATCTGAGAGAGGCCTTTCGACGACCAGAGCCCCCTCAGCCCAGAGTCGAGAGGCGTCAGAGGAGTCAGAGGCAGAGGGGCCCTGAGCCCAGGGAGGCGCGACCGTCTCGAGGAGGACGGAAGGCCCTAGCCAGGAGAGAGGAGGAGCCAGAGCCGGAGCCAGAGGCTGAGGAGCGAGGGGTGTACCCTGAGTGTGGGTTGGGACCAGTGGAGTTCCACCGATTTACCGCGGGAAGATTGAGGAGGTTGCCAGCACGCTAACAGGAGGAGCCGCCAGCGTCTGAGGGGCCTTTGAGGGAGTTGGAGGCGCATTTGGATATCTCTTGGTGGAGAGCGTCGCCTCAAGGCGAGGAGCGTGGAGGACCGGTAGAGGAGGCACCGGTAGAGGAGGTGCCACGAGAGGAGGTGCCACATGAGGAGATGCCACGAGAGGAGGTCCAGGATACTCAGCGAGAGAGAGGGCTGGGCGATGAGGGAAGACGTGCAGGGAAGAAAGTGATAGAGGTTGGAGAGGACACACCACCTCAGACGCCAGCGGTGGGTTTGAGACTCGGGGATGCACCAGGGAGCACTCGCCAGGCAGGGGAGAGATTGCAGAGAGAGGAGGCCCCATTGCCTTCATCAGAAAAGGCTCCTTCGCCAGAGGGGAGAGCAGAAAGGAGGAGAGAAAGGGCAGCTGTAAGGAGAGAAGCCTTGACCCTGATTGACAGGCACCTAGCGGCTCATGCCCTGGAGCACCCGGACCTGGAGGAGCCAGCACCTGCAGAGCCGCGCTAGGAGTCGTGCCAGCCCGAAAAGGAGGTGGAGGCAGAGATCCCGAAGAGGGTCGACCTCCGCACGAGGGAGAGGGCGCCAGTTGGAGAAACAGCTGAAGAAAAGAGGGCAAGAAGAACCAGGAGGATAGAAGAGTATGGCAGGAGAGGCAGAGGTTGGAGGCAGCGGGGAAACTTCCGGAGCAGCAACAGGAGAGGCAGAGATTGGAGGCAGCAGGGGCTCTCCCGGGTCAGCCACCCAGCGAGCCAGCAAAGGCCCCCGAGATCCCAAAGATGTGGAGGGACTTCTGGGAGCAGAGAGGAGAGGAGCTTCCTTCGCCAATCAGAGCGGGGTTTGGGGTGGCAAGGAAGGCAGAAGAAAGGTTGGATCGCAAGATCAAGTTCTTGGCCAAGACAACTTTTGACCGGCACTTGTTGTTGGAGAGCGATCTGGCAGGGAAGAAGATAAAGGAAGCCGGCGATGGAGTACGCCTGGAGGCTATGGAGGTGGAAATCCAGGAGCTCAGGGCATCGGTGGCGAGCCAGGCAGCTATCATCGAGAGCCTGAGGCAGCGATCTCAGGGAGGGGCGGACAAGCCAGAGAGCAGCCGGCGGGGAGAGTAGAGGCAGCCAGGACATGGCTTGCCAGGACAGCTATCTGCAGCAGAGACTCGCCAGGAGCCACCTATGGGGAGAGTTATCCTGGAGCCAGAGGAGGCGAGAGCCCAGAGGGAGGCAGAGAGAGAGGCCTTCGAGTTCAGAGCCCCTACTAAGCTCGCGACGCTACCTATAACAGTGGTGGGCCCAGTCATACCTTTGGCAGTTGAGGAGGGGCTACCACCATCCAGCAGTGAGTCAGCTCAGAGCTCGACAGAGGGATCTATGGACGTGCTCATAGAGGCAGTGCACTCGATGCAGGAGGAGGCGAGTTTGTTTTCGTTTTAGCAGAGGATAGAGGAGCCTCTCGAGAGAGAGATGAGGATTGAGGTTGAGGATTGAGGTTGAGGGTGTCATCGAGGGCGGGCTCCAGAGGTTGGGCACGCCCGAGTATGGGCCAGAGGGGATTGAGGACCGACCTGGACCGAGTACCCAGGAGGTGGAGACACGAAAGGAACCTTTGGATATGCCTCAGAGCCATGGGCTGAGCAGGGAGGCTAGCGAAGCACCATCATCGCCAGGGTCTTAGAGAGGAAAGAAGAGGTCCAGGAAGTGGTTCGATACGTCCTGTTTCTTCTGTACAAAGGAGGGGCATCGAGCCTTGCAGTGTCCTAAGTTCTTGAAGGACAAGGCTGAAGGGAAAGTTACAGAGGAAGGAGGCAGGATGTATGATAGACAGGGCAAGAGAGTAGAGAGATCTGCAGATGGGGGTAGGGCTCAACTATATAGGGAAAACCAGGAGGAGATGAGCGACCAGGACTGAGTTTTCCTATATGGTTGACATGTTGCGTATAAGATTTAGAGTTCGGATTGGATGACATTCTGTAGATCTAGGTGTTGTTTGTTTTTGTCAGGCAGTTTGGGTTGGATTTTTGTTGAGTCTGCCATCTTGAGGACCGGGACATGGTAGATGAGGCCTATACATACTTAGGTGGCCTACGCCCTGATCTTCGCGAGACAGACCCAACCTGTACGTAGAGGATGGCATCAGTGTGAGTGTGGTTTTGAGTGAGTTGAGTGGGTTACGATCTGAGAATATTTGTGTATGGGGCGTTCTGCCCCTGAGTGTATGTTGGAGGCATTTCATGTGGGATATTTTATCCCTGAGTGTACATTATATCGAGACTTTTTTTGGGGACTACTTGTTGTATATGACGATCACTCTCACACTCACTTGTGTGGTCCTGGCTTGACGGATGATGGTTCAGTGTGAAATATGCGCAAGAAAATGCTTGATGTATCTTGTACTTTGTGAATTTGGATGAATGTGAACTGTCTACTCACCGGTATACTCGTGCGACCTGCCCTTGGACAGATGAGAGGGCCGAGTATAACGCAAGGAAGCGCAGTCTATTTTGTGGGAGAATGTGAGGATCCTGAGTATTCGTATGGTGATAGTTCTATTGATTGAGCCGTGCAGAAGACCCACAAGTTGGTCTTTTATATATGGATTATGTGATGAATAGGACACCTGCGAATGGAAAGGTTGTTCATTATCTGTTTGGAAGACGCACCTTCAGAGAGGGAAGATGTGTTAAAGAAAAGGTCGCGGGAAAGTTCATCCTAGAGAGAGAGGGATGACTGAGAGACCTATTAAAATAAGACCTCCTCTATGAGTAAGGTGGTCAATAAGGTAGATAAATGGAAGTTTGACTCTGTGTAATAAAAGACTGACGAGAGGGGCCAAATTTTTGTTTGACTATTGGTGGAATTCTTGGATGTCGCAAATGGTGTGTTTTAAGAGATGTCATCAAGATGCGTGACTTTATCGCCCTGATCAAGCTGGGAGGCCACGACCTTGTGAATCAGGCGGTGATTTTGTTTTGTGATTGTGGAGAGGTTGTCGTGCTTCCTCTGTGTTGTCCCACAAAGGGACCGATAGATACCTTTTATGTGCGACAGGTCTATGCGTAGTCCCGCAGTCGGCTTGTATTGTTGCGACACACCGTCCGACCACTTGTGCTAATCTTGGACATTTATCTGAGACCCAGTTAGGGGTATAACTGGCATCACTAAGGCGCAACCCTTAGTGTTGGCCGCTGTTTGGCACAACCTGGGCAGAGGGTCTGCGTCTGACCAAGGGATTAAAGACTTAAAGGGGCGTGAACGCCTATGAGGGTTTTACTCCTGCGGAGAGACGTGGGATAAGAGTCGAGTCATATGAGTCTTTGAGGAAGTCCTGATTGAATGCTTATCAGGAACAGCCTATCGCGGCGCAACCTGCGAGGGCACTGCCGCTAAAATAACAACGCGGTGGGTCGTAGATCTGGAATGATCACCCAGACTATGGTGGGCAAGAAAAAAGATCTGGTCTTCCTGTACTAGACTGCAAGAAAACTTATATAAGAGTCTATGTGGTACGACTACGTGTGTCAATGTGAAGATTTTTGAGAGGGAGGCGAGAGAATGTCTTTGAAATTCTCGGTTAGGGCCCGCGCCCCTAGTCACGACTTGGCTTCAAGGGAAAGGGTTAGGGGCACACAACGAGAGGTCGGCGGTTGTCTAGGACACGGGGGAGAGGACGGGGAGAGATCCGATGAAACTTATGCTGTAGTACAGTGAGGAGTATCCCGACGTTCGAATGTCAGGGCGACAGAGACCCAGGTTGGAATCCTCGCAGCATGAAGTTATGTTTGGCATGAATTATTGGAGGCCTCATCCCAGGGTCTGTCGGCTAATCGGATTGGTACCCTGCTCGTCAGCATTTTGGGATTGTGATTGAATTAATAGTTTTTTATCCTGCGAAGCGACGGGGACGTCGCTTAATATGGTCCGGTAAGTTATCCGTGCGAATACCCTTACAAGGGTATCCGCCCTGGTTTTTGCAAGCGACAGAAAAACAGTTGGATTTAAAGTTTAAGTATGCCGCGCTAGGCGCTGCCGCGTCTGTAACTTATGTAGACTAGGTGGTTGACTAGAGTAAAGAGTGCGTGGGCGCGTAAGTTTGAGGCGCGCGTGATTTTCCCTTCGTTTGGCTACACTAGCAAACGTGGCATGGATTTCGGACGACGTATGTCATTTCTATTTGATTAAACTGATTAACCAATGAGTGTGTTTTTCCCTGGCCCTGCGGGATGTGGTAGACGGTTCGGTCGGGCCGGTGTGCACGCCCGTGGAATCCAAATGATGGGACCTGATGGGTTCGGCCGGGTAAGGGGCAGTCGCGGCACGGTCGGGTGGTCGGCGTGACTTTTTGTGGTCATATGTGTGAGTGCGGGTTAGGAAATGGTATAGGGTGGCTCCTTTGGCCCCAAAAAACAGGGGGCTACCTCTTTATTAGGTAGCTTAGGCCTTCTGGTATCAGACTTGGGCTTAACCCTATAGGTTACGACTTTGGACGGATACTACGGGGGCTCTGGGATCGAGGCCAGCAGGCGGCGACACGTGAGCGCAGGAGCATGGACGGAACTGGGGGATTGAGGGTCCGACGGGGCTATCTCTCTCAATTTTGCTGAACTGAAGTGACGGAGGGACCGACCCAATGGATTGGCGGGGTGCTAGTAGTCCCCCTCCTTCTTATATTAATATTAATATTAGTAATTCTCTCATTTCTTTTTGCTCCGTTCCCATTTTCTGAGACTTTGAGGGATGGCGGGGTCCTTCGGGACATCCGTTAACATTGGGACGATATAGAGAAGATTAGCATGGCCCCTGCGCAAGGATGACATGCATAATTTGAGGAGAGGGGACGAGCTCAAACGTCCGCTGCAGACTGAAGTACATACCGCACGTCGGGACCTGGCCCCGGTAGGTGGCCAGATCCGCGCGGAGGTTTTCGGCATGGCAAGAAGGCATGGAAACTGCACAGGCTAAGAAGGGACCGTGGGGCATTGCCCCAGCTAAAAGTCCTTCGGGAAATCTGTCAAATATGGAACGGTGCCTGAAAGAGTTAGTCTGGCCCGCGGGGGAGACAGTACGTGGCTGGTCGAGGAGGCGGGGCTGGCCCGGCGGACGCTGTGCGGCAGCGGGCGAGACGGTGAGCAGGCTAACGGGAGGCCGCCTGGCGTAAGGCAAGAGTAAGGATCGCGGAAGTGACCTGGACGCGTGTTGCGCCAGGTACAGCCATCGCAGAGGATGAAGGGGGTTGTGCCCCGTGCAGGACTGCGCGACAGAAATCGCGGGGGCCGGGGCAAAAGCCGGACGCATGACTCGGCGCCGGGCCGACGACCGACGATTCTTCCGCAAGGCGGGGTGCTGTCAGGCCTTGCGGTAGTGAGGGGAGTACGAAGGCCTGGGTGTGTGTTGTCCCCCGTCGGAGCTTCGAACGAATAAAGCGGGGGCAGCCGTTTTTTTTTCTCTGTTTTTGCTTGTCGAAACTTCATCTGCGATGCGTTCCCTGCGCGGCACGGTCAGAGCACGCTACTCCATCTTGGTGCGCTAAAGTGCGGATTGATGACAACGGGAGTGAAAAAAGTGTCACGCGGACCTGGATGGTGGGTCGGACCGGGTACTTGCGCGGGGGGGGGGGCGTTGAAAGCCCGCTGGATACGAACCTAGATCGGAGGCAGCAACAGGGCGAACCTGGGCGCAGAATAGCGCCGGGTGCACTCAAAGTTCGGAGGGGTAGTGAAGGAGCCGTGGCCGATTGTGGGGGATGTAACTCGCCCATTTTAACGGAATCGGTCGGTGTAAAGGCTGATTTCGGAGCTTTAGGCCAGGGCGAGAGGGATTACGAGGTCAGTTCTAGGTGGAAGTTAGTAGAATAGAAGAAAGCAAGAGAGAGGGAAGAAGCGGGGCTATGGCGGATGGAAAGATGCGCAGCACGCTCGGTTCGGGACATGATCGAGTGAAGGGAGAGTCTAGATAGAAGACCTAGGGGACGACGGATCTAATTACGGTGTTAGTTTTAAGAGAAAACTAGTAGGTGAGGAGGGTAGTGCAAAAGTGGCCGCGCGAGAGATGGCGGGAGTGAGGTAGATGGGGAAGCGGGAGAGTGTTAGCTCCCTCGTTGCTGGCTGAATACCAGCGAGGTAAGGGGCGATCTTGAAGGTTTAGCCCTGGGCGAGATGCATGGTAA